GATATACAATAATGTACAGAATAAAATTTAAAAACATTTTTCTAAGATAGGGTCACCAGGCTGGAGTGCAGTGGCACGATCAAGACTCACTACAGCCTCAAATTCCTGGAGATCCTCCTGCCTCAGCCTCCTGAATTGCTGGGACTACATGCCTGAGTCACTGTACCTAGCTTAGAATAAAATTTTTATAATGTTTTAAGTTAAAGAGGAGGAAGAAAGAATACTAAAAAGGAAGATGTGTTTGGGAGGCCGAGGCAGGAGGATTGCTTGAGCCTAGGAGTTCAAGGTTGCCTTCATCTATGATTGTGCCACTGCACCCCAGCCTCGGTGACAGGGTAAGACCCTGTCTCTAAAAAAATAAAGATGTGGGCCAGGCGCGGTGGCTCATGCCTGTAATCCTAGCACTCTGGGAGGCCGAAGGGGGATGATCGCTCAAGGTCAGGAGTTTGAAACCGGCTTGAGCAAGAGACCCCGTCTCTACTAAAAATAGAAACAAATTAATTGGCCAACTAAAAATATATATAAAAAATTAGCTGGACATGGTGGCACATGCCTGTAGTCCCAGTTACTCAGGAGGTTGAGACAGAAGGATCGCTTGAGCCCAGGAGTTTGAGGTTGCTGTGAGTTAGGCTGACACCAAGGCACTCTAGCCCAGGCAACAGAGACTCTGTCTCAAAAAATAAATAAATAAGTAAATAAAGATGTTAACCTGTACCTTGTCATCCACCCAACCGGCATATTCTTGCCAGCATATGACATCAATAATAATGACATTATGATTGTGGATAGTAGCCTATGATGAACAATAGTGCAGGACTTGTATGATAACTAAGTAGACGAAGGCTTGGGGACAGAGAGTAAAGCTAAACCATGGCTGGCTCTAGTTCAGTTTCAGAAGTTAACTGCACTTGCTCAGCTGCTGCAGTTGTTCAAAACAATTCGCCATTTGTCGCCACTTACTCTTGAGCTGCTAAAACATTTGTTGATAAAAGCTCAAATATTCCATGATACTACAAGTAATTTTAACTTTTTACTTTAAATAAAGTTTTTAATTTTATATATGAGGTCATGCTACGTTGCCCAGGCTGGTCTAGAACTGGTGGGTCCCCTCAGCCCCTCAAGTAGCTGAGACCACAGGTGCCCAAGCCCAGCCTTTTTATTTTTTTATTGAGATGTAACATATATAAAACACACTAATCTTAAATTGCTGAATGAATTTTTACATATGTATATACTTGGGTGACAACCACCAAAAAGATCGAGATATACGCAGGAGGCTGAGGTAGGAGGATCGCTTGAAGCCTGGAGTTCATGACCAACTTGGACATTATAGTGAGACCTCATCTCTAAAAAACAAAAGATTGAGATAAAGAATCCAGCATTCCAAAAGGCTCTTTCCTGCTCCTTCCTTGACACTGTACCCTCAAGTGTAACTCCTATTTGACCCCTATCAGTGTAGATTAGCTTTGCCTGTTTTTCAATCTCATATAAATGAAACCATAAAGCCAGTGTGTGCCTATAGTACCAGCTACTGGGAAGGCTGAGGCAGGAGGATGGCTTGAGCCCAGGAGTTTGAGGCTACAGGTGTACTATGATTGAGACTGCACTCCAGCCTGGGCAACACAGGAAGACCTCTTTTTTTTTGTTGTTTCAGCATATTATGGGGGTACAGAGACCTCATCTTTTAAAAAGAAAAAATTAAGAAAGAGAGAGGGAGGGAGGGAGGGAAGGAGAAAGAAAGAGAAAAAAAGAAAACAGAAACCATATAGTATATATTGTTTTGTTTCTGACTTACTCTTTCCAATGATATGTCTGTAAGTCATCCATGTGGTTGTATGAAATAGTAGCTCATAATTCTCACTGTTGTATTTCATCATCTGAATATACTACAATTTATTCTACTGTTGATGGATATTTAAGTTGTTTCCAGTTTTTAGCTATCATAAAGAAAGCTACTATGTACATTATTGTACAAGTCTGTTAACAAAAAAAAAATGAAGTCTGCAGAGGATAAACAAAGGAGAGCTTTATTTTCTAAAAAAAAACAAAAACAAAAACAAAAAAACTTAACAATCTGCAGATCAGGAAACATAACCAGTTTGCAAATTGTTCCCTGGAATACAGTCCTCTAAATTCCTTTCCATTTCAGACTTTTGTTCACAAGTCTTTCACTTTTTAAAATTTCAAAATATTAAGGGAGTACAAATGTTTTTGTTACATGGATACCTTGTATAATGCTCAAGTTGGGGTGTTTATTGTACCCCTCACCAGAATAGTGTTCATCCTATGAGATAGGTAAGTTTTTACCCCTCACAGTCCTCCCACCCTCCCCCCTGTTCACAAGTTTTTCTGTAGAGGGAGGCCAGCATTTTTGTTTGTTGCAAACCTGTGCAGAATTGCTGGGTGATAAGGAATTAACAATGTATAGATTTAACCCCCTGTGACTTTCAGATTTCTCTTCATAGAGAGATTTTATTCAGAAATTAAATCATTCAGGTATTTTGCAGCATGGAACAGTTCAATAATTTGTGAAGATTAGAACTGGTCTTCTCTTCCTGTTCACATCTTTTTATACTGAAGATGATTTTATCAGTTCCTCAAGTTTTTTATTAATGTTTCTCTTTGTTGCTCAAGAAGTTCTTTAATTTCTTCCTCAATGTCATCCACTGGTAGGCCACTTGAACAATGAGTTTCACTTCTTTGTCAATAGAAACCCTTAAAATCTTAAACTCATTCTTTGGAACATGCACTGTCAGGCTTGATTGCTTCCATTGTCTGTTTGAATGATGCAACTAGCAGAACTGAAGGACTTCCAACTCATTAATTACCACAATAAGATTAGGGTCAGCATACAGGGCTCTGGGAAACAAGGAAGACTCTCAGACTCATGTATGTGGCTTTGAAACAGCAAAGCATGCTTAGCTCAGCAGAGGGAACGATGGAGGGATGTCCCGGAGGAAAGCTTTGTTCAGTGCCTTTATGAGCACATTCATAAAGGGTGTAGTACCTCAGGGTGGTATTGTTGTGACCCATAGCACTGAAGCCAAGTTTTTTCTCTTTGAGATTCTGCTTGACTTCTAGAATGAAGAGTTTTGAAGTTGAATCAGGGAAAAGTACTACAGTTACCAGCTTTGCATTTGATTGCTAGAGCACAAGCTTAATTTTTTTTCCTTAGGGCACCAGCATTTGTAGTTCAACAGCCCTGTAGAACTACACTGCCACCATACTACAGGTGGGTGTAATGGGCGAAGTGTTCACAAGGTCATTAATTGCTTTCAAACCTGGCCTTGTGTTTCTAGTTTGGAAATATAAATGCAATTGAGCATTTCCCCCAGCAAGGTACCAACCTCATGATATTCTGAAGACAGCTCTTTCATCAATAATTATTTCTAATAGCTGTGGGTGGGTTTTGCTGCCTGTTCCTCCACAGACATAGTCTCACCAACAGTTTGCATGTTTTTGAGGTTAAATTAGTTTATAAAACTGTTATGCTATCCTTGGCTGGCTTTGAAATCTTTCCATCCAAAGGCTGTCTTCTCTGGCAGGAGGTTTGAACCGTGACTCAAGATGAAAAGGTTTTTTTTTGTTTTTTTTTCCATTTTGCAATGTGTTGCCATTGTTAGGCAAATATTTCTGGTTCATGTCTTCTAGTCATAAGTTTAGTGGCCTTTCTATTGTCCTTTAAGATTAATCACGTTGGCCACGCGTGGTGGCTCACGCCTGTAACCTCAGCATTCTGTGAGGCTGAGGCAGGAGGATCGCTCAAGGTCAGGAGTTCGAGACCAGCCTGAGCAAGAGTGTCTCTACTAACAATAGAAAGAAATTATTTGGCCAACTAGAAATATAGAGAAAAAATTAGCCGGGCATGGTGGTGCATGCCTGTAGTCCCAGCTACTCAGGAGGCTGAGGCAGGAGGATCCGCTTGAGCCCAGGAGTTTGAGGTTGCTGTGAGCCAGGCTGAAACCACGGCACTCTAAAGGGGGCAACAGAGTGAGACTCTGTCTCAAAAACAAAAACAAAAACGATTAATCACATGTACTTTGCTGTTACTGTAGCAGTTATAGGAGAACTTGATGACCCAGCTTCACAAATTTCTGGAATCGTGGTTGCACATGCGGCTATCTTGAGGCCGGCTACATTTTTGTGCCACCTTAAAGACAGACCTTATCACCCCTCAACTGGTAAGCTAGTTTTTCTCCCAGTATGGCAACGAACTGCTGTTTCTTTGGGTGGGTGCGAAATAAAGTGGCTGGAGTGCCTTTCAGATAGGTCATATTGACATGGAAAGGAAGTATCTTAAACACTAGAATCTAATATAACAAACAAAGCACTAGAATCCCAGTCAGCCTCACAAGATCTACCCTGAGGAGCCCAGAACCGGAGCCAACAGAATAGTTGTCCCCTGTCTCATACTGTCACGGAATGGGGGCGGGCCGCTTCTGCCCCAGTTTATCTGAGCATTGTTGGGTTCACGTTAAATGTGTCTATGACGAAACTCCACATGCCCTTTAATCCTCACAACAAAGATACCCCAATTTTTACAGATTCATAAATTGAGGCTTCGAGAATGTAAACACTTGGTCAAAGACCAGAGCTGACAAATGGCAGCCTCAACATTCAAACCGCAGCCGGGCGCGGTGGCGCGCCTGGAATCCCAGCTACCGGGAAGCTGAGGCGGGACGGTTCCCGGAGCCCAGGCGTTCTGGCACAGCTGTGACCTATGAACTGAGCCACTACACTCCAACCTGGACGCCAGAGGGAGGCCCGAGACCGTCTCTTAAATAATAATAAAAAAAATCAAACCGCAGAAAGCCTCACCCCCAGCCCACCCCCTCACCGGGGAAGAAAACGGCCGCGGCCCCCATGGAAAATTTCTGTGCCTGGATGCCCCGCCCGCCGCCGCGCGGGTGCTGGTTACGTAACCGCGTCCAGGCCCGCGGAAGGGGGCGGGGGCGCTGACTCACGCCCGCCGAGCGGTCACGTGAGCAGGCGCGCGGCCGGGCCAGGCGGGGGGCAGGGGGTGTCCAAGGGCCTGGCGCGCGCCCCACAATGGCCGCTTGCGCTGCGGGGGCTCCTCCGATCCAGCCGCAGGGAAATAGGGGCCCGTCGCCCAGAGCCCTCCCCAGAGCTGCAGCTCCCGCCCCCGCCAATCTCGCCCCGGCCCCCGGCGCTGACGTTTGCGTCTGGAACTTTCCGGCCGGGAACAAAGGCCCCAGGGCGGAAACGAGGCCCAGAGGCTGGAGGACGGTGTTTGGAGGTGAAGGCTGCTAAACCTCTACCCCGGGCTCCAGAGGGGTGTGGAAGGGACGGACTGCTTATGAAAAATCTGGTAATAGAGGCTTACCTCCTGATAGTCTTTATAGTCTAAAGAGCGCCATTCCACCATCCTTCAGAAAATGTTTCCTTTCCTCCCATCTCTCTACCTTCCCAATCTCAGTGTAGCCTAGGGACCCTCCACAGGGGAGAATCATTCTGTTCGCCCTGAGGAGGGAGGTTAGAAGTAGGAGACACCATGCGGTGTTAGAAGCTGCTGTGTACCTGGGCCCAGTGGTGAGGGCCCAGTCCCAACTGCAGAGAGGCTGAGGCTGGAGGATTGCTTGAGGCCAGGAGTTGGAGGATGCAGGGTACTATGATTGCGTCTGTAAATAGCCAGTGCACCCCAGCCTGCCAGCATAGTGAGACCTCACCTATGAAAAAGAAACTGCAGTGTGAAGGAGCACAGCTATTAAATGACCACTCCCTCTTACACTGCCAACCTCACCTAGATTAGTCTGTCATCTAAACCTCTTACCAGATCAAATACTCTTTTGCTTATCCTTGCTATTTTTTAAAAATACTGACTCAGCTTTTTCTAGCTTTCCTTCTGCCTTTGACATCCTCAGGTCCTGTTTCCTTCTAGTGAATTCTAACTAGGGATATCTTCCAGGCTTGTGTGGATGGAAAAAAAATCCAAACTCTGAAATATTTGAAAGAAGCCAAATTTGAGGACCATGACCGGGAGCCACTCCTAAGAATCCTTGAGCAAGTGGACTCGATGTGGTTAGGTTACAGTTTGGCTTTAGACATTTTAGGGAGACCGGTTACAGGCAAAGTCATAAATCAATATGTGGGAGGCATACATAGGTTTGGCCGGAAAATGTGGGACATCTTGAAGGGAGGGCTTACAGGTTATAGGTGGGTTTAAAGAGTCTTTGGCTTGTAATTGGTTAAAGACATGAAGCTTCATTTAAAATTTGGAATGTTTTAACTTAAGGAGCTGTTATCAGAGATAAGCCACCAGACATAGATTTGTTGTGTAAATTGAGGATCTATTGGTTTGTCTTGAATACCCTTAGGCCTGTTAATGGGTTATAAAGAATGTCCCCAAGATGGGAGGGGAGCATGATAAGGCATGTCTGACTTCCTTTGTCCTGGCAGGCAGTTTAGTTTTAGGATATTCCTTTAGCCACGAGGGGGTCCATTTAGTCAGCCTGTGAGAGGTGAGCCTTAAAATTTTATTTTAGGCCGGGTGTGGTGGCTCATGCCTGTAGTCCTAGCTCTCTGGGAGGCCGAGGCGGGCGGATTGCTCGAGGTCAGGAGTTCGAAACCAGCCTGAGCAAGAGAGGGACCCAGTCTCTACTATAAATGGAAAGAAATTAATTGGCCAACTAAAAATATATACAAAAAATTAGCTGGGCATAGTGGTGCATGCCTGTAGTCCCAGCTACTCGGGAGGCTGAGGCAGGAGGATCGCTTGAGCCCAGGAGTTTGAGGTTGCTGTGAGCTAGGCTGACACCACGGCACTCACTCTAGCTTGGGCAACAAATGGAGACTCTGTCTCAAAAAAAAAAATTATTTTAGTTCACACTTGTCATTTGTTCACTCATCAATGCTCAAAGTGAAGGAAGGAGGTAAAGGTATTTTATCTATAAAGACAAATCCACACTGAGGGGAGGGTGTCTTTGATTATTATTTTTTTTAATTTCAGAGACAGTGTCTCACTTTGGCATCCAGGCTGGAGTACCTGGTGTGAACACAGGTGGGACCTCCAACTCCTGGGCTCAAGTGATCCTCCTGTATAGCTGGGACTACAAGCATGAGCCACCACCCCTGGCTAATCTTAAAAATTTGTTTTGTAGAGGCGGAGGAGTCTCACTGTGTTGCCCTGGCTGGTCTGGAACTCCTGAGCTCAAGCAACCCTCCCACCTTGGTCTCCTGAAGTGTGGAATTACAGGTGTTAGCCAAGATCCCTGGCCCCTTGGTTACTTTGATTTTTTTTATCTTTTATTTTTTTAAGTCAGAGTCTCACTCTGTTACCCGAACTAAAGTGCCATGGCTTCAACCTAGCTCAGAGCACCCTCAAACTCCTAGGCTCATTTGATTCTACTGCCTCAGCCTGCCGAGTAGCTGGGACTACAGGCATGTGCCACCATGCCTGGCTAATTTTTTTTTGTATGTATTTATTGGTCAATTCTTTCTCTTTTTTTTTTTTTGAGACAGGGCTCACTTTGTTGCCCAGGCTAGAGTGAGCACGGTGGCAGTCAGGCCTAGCTCACAGCAACCTACAAACTCCTGGGCTCAATCGAGTCCTACGCCTCAGGCCTCCTA